AGTCACCTCCCTTTTACTTCAACTTGAATTTGATATTTTCCTTTGTGCTCAAGGAAGACTGGAGGTTTGTATTATTTAAGCTAAAATGCTGGAGAAGAAAGCCATACTGAGGAAGAGGAGAGGCTTTGATTCAGCTTTTGTGTCTGGTGGGAACATTTTCTCAAAATGTAGGTGCTATTTCCTGTAATCAAGGGTTTTCCAGAGCCTGATAATAATTTCCCAGCTGTATCATTTTGGTGAATTATTCTTTAGCCTTGGGTTTTGCATATTAAGAATGGGAGAGGAGATCATATTCATCTTGATGATAGAAAACAGGGAATAGAACTCCCACAGCTCCCTCTCCCTTTCCCTCCACCTTGTGGAAAGTTTGGCTTTGTGCTAAAGCGTGAAAAAAGCCTTGACTGCAATGTGTCAGGCATATTTCAGCTCGATTTGTGTCAACCCTAATAAGTCAGCTGACAAGGTAATAAATTGGGTGTCTGTTCAAGACCTGGCACCTGTACAGGAAATAAAAGGGGATTTCAGTTGCAGTACATTTTCTTTGTTTTACAAATCGATCTTTGCTTAAGGCTCCTCTACCTCTTCCCCCTTCTTCTCTTTACTTAAATCGTGTTATCAAAATGTTTATTTCAATTGTGGTTGGAGCCAGTGTTTCATCTGTAAAAGAAAGCTCTATGAGTATCCTTGGAAATGGAAATCTTTATGACTTTCATTCTGAAATAAAACCTTACAGAGCATTTAATTATTCATGTATCCTGCTGTTACATAAATGGTCTGAATAACTTCGAATTATTGAGAAACTGCCTTTGTTCAACATTTTGAAACTTTACATTTATATAGTTTGAATCAGGCTAGGAAAACAGAATTTATTTAACCCAGGGAAACTGTAGTAGTAAGATCTCACTATTTTTAATGATAATATAACCTTGTGACTAGGGTGTCTTAACATGCTTCCCTCTGTGCCTGACCTCCAAGGATGCAAGTCTGTTACAGCCCTTGAGAGCACAGCTTTTGTAGGTCCAGCTGTAGGGTTGTGTTTTTAGCTCAGGGGCACCAGGTCAGTTCCCAGTGTGATGTGAGGTGGTGACTGCAATAGTGGTGAGAGCTGAGGCAGTTTCCTTGCAGTATTCACTTTTGGTACACAGATCTTCCCCATGCTTGGAAAAGAGACAACAGCTCCTGTCTCTGACCCCTTTCATTTTTGGTGACTGTCCTGGGCACCATGGAAGAAGTTTCCTAAAGATGTAGTTTCAGGCTCTATGGCTGGAGGAAGCAAAACAGGACTTGTATTCTTTGAAATGGGCAGCTGCCTTTTCTTCCAATTGAATTTCTTCCACCTTTTCCCTCCTTCATTATCCCATAGGGATCTAGAATAAGTAGATCTTCATTTCCACATGGAGAGTTCATCTCCCAGAATTTCCTTCTTGGACTTTTTTAATTAGAGGAAGTGATAATCTGACCCAGTGGAAGGTGAAGGGGGAAATGGTTTATTAAAAACAAATATTATTGCCATTAATTAAAGTACGTATGATCTTTAGAAACAAGGAGACAAGAACTCTCAAGGTCATAACAGTTACCTAAGTATGCTTTGCACATAATAAGAAAATTTTCAGCAGCAATGTTCAGAATTCAAGAAGATAAATCTATGTAATGTATATAATAAAGTTTTCTATACAGTCTGTCTGTTTGAGGATTTATCACTCTTTATTCAGAGGACTGGACTAGATGACAAAAGCCTTATCTGTCCACTCCTATCACATTTGGGGTTACAACATTTAAATGAGGAAAAAGTTTTCTTAAGTTCTCCTAGTATTTTCAAGAAGTGAAAAAGGAGCTTGAGGGGAAAAAACGGGGGAATATAAACCTTTAAAACTCCAAGTGAACTTTAGGAATGGTAATTGAATGCAAGCTCTGGTCTTTCCTATCACACTGTAAATTAAAAAAAAAAAACTTAGTTAAGCAACCCTTCTTTCTCCAGCACTGCCTAGTAATATGATAGATTGCTCTAAATTAATTACAGTAATCAGCTAACGTTATGTGCTGTAGAGTTGTGATTCAAGCATGAAGGAAAGAATGCAGAGCAAATTGCAGATATGAAAAATGTGTTGAAGGGTTAGCTCAAGGTTTACACCTTGGCCTCAGCCTGTGGAAAAAAAAAAGGACTCGAGGGTGAAATACTGAAATCTAAACAAAAATGGAGGAAATTTTCCAGGTCACATATCTTTGGATGTACTGCAAAGGCATTATATGTTAATAAAAGCAGAAGAATAAAGTAAGAAAACAGTACCTAATAATAACTGATACTCTCTGTTGCAAGAGGTGTTTTAAATTTCCTGGTCATTGAGAAGATGTTAAGAAATGCCCATTTCTTTGTGTTTCAATAATATCAGCTCCCTTCTGACCTGTTGTGAAATGGATTGAGAATTCATACTGAACTTTACAGATTCCTCATAAGGTGAATTGTAAAAATCTGTTTGAACACATATAATCTTCTTTAAAAATATTTATAGAACACAGCTCTTATGAAAATTAAACATGTTCCAGGTGTGTATGGTCCACCTTCTGGGCACAGCCAAGTTGTTTTTGAAGTGGTAGATACACCTGTCCTTGCTAGTCAAGAGAAATTCTTCATGGTCAAGATGCTAAAATGAAATGAAATTTCATGGGGTTTGTTGTGTCTTGGTTTTATTCAAGAGAAAAACTTGTATGATTATAGTAAAGCTGGGAATGAGTTGTAGGTAAGATGTGCACCTGGCTGTGGAAAAAAATATTAGTTCTTTTCTTCTGAGCAACAACTGCTTGCAGTGCTTCAGCTCTCAGGATAAAATGGTGGACGTGATACTATTATGCTTGCAGGCTCTTATTGGGAGGTTGAGATTTTTAAAACATGACTTTTTTCCTTCATTAATAGTGAATCTAGCACCACAGAAACTCAAGGTGTTTTCTTCTAGCTTTATTCAAAACACTTACAGGAAGAGGTGCTGATGCCAGGTGTATAAAAGCTCTGAGTAAAAAGTATAAAGCAAAAAGATGGAGTTCAGCTATAGCATGGGGGATGGCTTGCAAGCTGAAACAACCATGTTTGCTGAGCTTCCCTTCTGTTTCAGTGCAGCTGCCCAGAAGGACAGGGCATGGCCAGACTGTTTTCAGAGATGTTTTCCAGATGTGTGAAAAAAGTCTTTAAAGGGGAAGGAGTATATATCCTTTTTTGATTTTGTAGTTTTTAGTATTTTTCTGGCCATGCTGGCAACTATATAAAAAATAATCTAGCTGAAAAAAAAAAGAGCCAAAAAAGGGAAGGTATTGAAAGAAATATCTCTGAGAAGTGGTACTGAGGCAAGAATGAGCAAATGTGACAGAGATGCACAGGGGATCTTTCAGCTGATTTCAATGTAAGGTGAAGTTCTAGATGAGACTAAGGCGGAATAGAGATGTCGGTCTGTCCTTTGGGTGGGATTTTGCATGGCTGAAACACATATGTGCAGTTTGTTGCCACTTCTCTTTAAGTACTGTCTACAGGGGTGCTATCTGCAATGTTCTTTGGAAGCTCCCTGAATTTGTACCCCAGAGTCTTTCTTCAACTATGAATATGTTTTACAGGTTTTTAAAGTCTTGCATGACTTTGTACAAAGGTGTTGCTGATAATTCTTCTACCTCTCCCCCACAGAACAGCAGCAGCATAACATCTGAGAACCACATTTTGTGTGTGTGTTATTTCTTACTCTTAGGCCCTAAACTGAGGTGAATGTCAGCCATTGATATATAAAATAAGGATATTTGTGACTTTTCTATGATTAGTATCTTTCCCCTACTTCTCTTTTTTTTTCCATTTTCTGCTTTTCAGAGGCTGATTTAATTCAGTTTACCACTGTTTCACTACATTTTCAGCAACACAACAGAGGAGAGTGGTAGGAGACAGTGTGAGGAATCTGCTACAAATCCTACTGTGGACTGGTTTCTTCTACAAAATTGCCAGTTTAAATATATATCCATCTGCATCTGTCGCACCATTTCACAGCTACTTAAGTTAATTGTCACCTGGGCCATCCCAGTGCCCACAGCCTCTCACCATTCAAACCTGGGTTTGATGCTTCCTGATTCACCCAAAATCTCATCCAGCAAAATCAAAGTAATTTGTTTGGAGGTAGCTCAGGGCCCCAACTGGGGCAATGAGGTAGTAGGGTGCTGAGAGGAGGGTGCAACCATGGCAACCCAAATTGGTATTAATCTGAGCAGCTATGGAGAGTTACTACTAGGTTTGGCCTGCCCATTTCAGAGCTACTTTATTTCTCCTTCTCCTGGTCTCAGTGCTGAGCCTGTGTTAGGCCAGGGACAGCCACCATGTCCCTGTAGTCCAGGAACTCAGGGGCAGTGAGACTTGTCAGTGAGACTTTCCTTGCCTTTGCAAGTTCATTATTTTTTTTCTTTCCCTTTATCAGAACCCAGTTGCCCTTCCCCTTCTTTTCAAAGGCACTGGTCTTTGTCTCCTCCTGCTGCATTTATCCTCTTTTGAAGTGAAGTGATATGATGAGCAGATCAAACATTTCACTGCTCCCAGAAGTCCTGCCCCCTTGCATGTTCTCTCTTGTCATGGAAGCAGTCAAGGTATTTTAATGTAATACATTAGTGTTTTGGTGTAATTGCTGCTACTCTTCAGTCACTTCTGACTTACTAGTTAGCAAGTATGGGTTTCTTCGAGTTTTGGGAAAACAGGAATACCGTAATGTGTGCAGAGCACAGGAGTGCTTCAGCCTTTGAGTGTACCTAATGCCACAACAAATGTGGTGAGTGGGTGGGAGTTGGTTTTAGAAACCTTGTAGACACTAAGCAAGGGTTCCACTGAAGTCTATAGTAGTGTCACTTGACAGAGGTTGAAGAACTTGGAGAGTGATTTTATGTGTTGTAAAAAGATTTCCAGCTGGTAAATTGTAAATATATAAAAGGTTCTGAAATTAAAACTGACAGAATTACTGATAAAAATTTCTGGATCTCTATTTCAGTGTTTTGTTCAGAAGTATTGAGTTAATTAGTTACATATACGTGTGGAATAACTACAGACTCTTTGAACTGCCCTGGGACTCTCCATGGACATGGTATCTGACACTTCTGGGAGTGGACTTTGCATACTACTGCTTTCATCGCATGAGCCATGGTAAGACTTAACAAGTTTTTCGTGTTTCGGCATACAAAATACATTAATATCTATTAATAAAGTGAGGTATTCATTTTTGTTTCTATACTTGATCTGCTCTAAGCATTTATAGCTGCACTTCTTCCCAAGGGTTACCAAAGATAAACTTTTAGCATGAGAAACGGTTAATGCTTCATACTCTATACAATAAACACAATGTTGTGAAAGGAAGGAGTATCATTTTGAAAACAGTTCAACAGAGAAAGTGAAGTATCATGGAAAAAAAGTAAGGAAAAAAGAGTGAGTACATAAAAAATTGAGTTCAATATCCCTATATACTTGTATGAAAAATCCAGCAAAGTACAGATAACTATTTCAAAAGAATCTGGTGGATGTACAAACTAGAGAGCAGGAAAAAGCAAGATGGCCAAAATAATGGAGCCTGTGTAAATCATGTCAGCCATTTCTGTACATGTATGTCTTTCTCATTACATATTTCTGTTCCCTAGAAATATCGGCTCTAGCCTTTTATACCATATCTGAAAATGCAGTAATACTTTCTATCAGTCCTAGCTCTGGGCCTGACCTAAAGTCTGTAGCAATGAAATAAAAATATTTTTGTTTTTTAAGAGGGTTTAGACTGGGCTTCTCTAACCTGAGTTGCCCACAGCCTGCAGAAGCTGTGGGATGTGGTAATGATACTTTATGTAATGTGCTTTCAGAAAGGGAAAATGCTCTGCTGCCAGTAGGTCAGTGGAATATATGGAAGTAGGTAAGAAAGGAGCCTGAGCTGCTGCGAGGAATGGGAGAGAGGAAGGGTCCCTCCCAGGTGGGGATGGCAGGCGGGTGTGAGAACAATGCAGGGTGGGTGTAAAGGGATAACAATGGTGGGGGACGGGCCGGGAGGCGAGGAAGCAGGGGGAGCTGGAACAATGTGTCGAGGGGGACATCACGGCCAGGAGCTGGGAGCCCTGCGTGGGTGTACGGAGACTGGGAATACGCTTCACAAACAATGACATTAACAGTGCTGGCAGGGCTGCAGCCTCAGGCTAAGAACTGCATAAGAGCAGGAGGCTATTCCTGTGTTTTAAAATAAAAATAATTGCCTTCAAGTGTTAAAAAATCACTAGCTTGGCTGTGCTTTCTCTGGAGTCAGTGGTAAAATTCCCACTGGCAGAGAAGGGAACAGGGCCATCTCTGCATTCTCTAAAGAAATGGATATATTTCTGTTTCTGCAGCAACTTTGCATTTGCTCTTCTCTGTTTTTGTTTTTGATGGAATACTTTGGAATTAATCTCAATAGGTGTTTTAGAAATAAAAACAAGCCAATTCTATATGTAATGGGGTTGAAGAAGCTGTAAGAAAATGCTGCTCTTCTCTTAAGAAGGTCAGTGCTTAGCTGTTCAATAAATGGTAATTTACTCTTCTTTGGGTTTCAGAAATATTGTTCGCTGTTATATCTGTGCGACTTAGCAAGGAACTGATGAAAAATTATAGAAAATTACTCTAAGTGGGGATTTTAGTTTAACCAACACTCTTTTCTGGTCAAACAATGATGAAATCTGTAGCACAGCAACACAGCTGCGAAAGTCAGCTGCACTGAAAGTTTCTGAGGAAGTTCAAGGAGATGGTTTTAAAAAGTCAGGAAAAATATCTTTGCAAATTGAGAAGAAAGGGCACTGGAAAAGTTGCTGGTACAAGCAGACAAAACACACCTTTGCACTAGAAAGTGACAGGCCTGGTGATTCAGGCTTGGATCCTACAGCAAAGTTCAAAATTAATAGCACATGTATATCCCAGGAAGTTCAAGCTGTGTGGGCTAGCTCTAATTGTTTCAAACTGAAAAACTAAAATTCAGATACATTTTTTAGTTGTTTCTTAGAACTTGATATAATTTTGATACTAAGAATTATCATCATCATGTAGGTTTTCCTGGCTGCAAGCAATAATTTGGTAACTCAGTCCCCTGGCATTTTTACTACCTTATTTCATGTTATCCATGAATAACTAGATTTTTCATTCTTCTATTTCATAAATTGTCTTGAATCACTACAGATTTTAAAGTTTCTTCTGTAGGAGAAACCCTACTATGGAATATAAAATTTTTACCCAGCATTTGAGGAGACTTTTTTCCTCTTCACTCTATGCATGTAATAGCTATTATCCTAAACTGAAGTTATACAGCAACAAAAGGAAGTATTTTTAGGTGTGATCTCATTTTGCAAAGGATAGAGTTATTCTAAGTATGTGCTTGTATTTTCCATTGTTTGCAGTAGCCACTGAAAGGTTAGAAAATAAAATGCTTCACCACTTATTCCAGCATTCTTCTGGGTCTGATCCAAAAGCCATGGCAGTCAACGGGTTTACTTAGACTCTACTCTTTCTCGTGGCATTTTAATGAATTTATAAATCAATGTAACTTTTCCCCTTGTTTCAGTAAAAACACCCATAATGGCTGTACTACTAAAAAATGTATGCTATAAAATCACAGGTTTTACTTTAAAACTTTTTTTTTTAGGGAAGGATATGTGTGGGTTTGAAGGATTTTTTCGAGGTATTTTCATCTAGCATATATGGATTACTCCTCAAGTTTCCTCTCCAGGTGCAGAGACCTTGTAGAGTTAGTCCTGCTAGGGAGGGGGATTTGGTGGTCCCAGAGCAGCGCTGAGCCCCAGCACGCCCTCCCCGCGCCCTGGCCTCAGGGACACTCCTGTTGCAGACAAATAACAACCGCAGCAAGGAATTTGGAAGCTCTGTAAACTGATTTCTTCAGCAGCCACACCTTTTAATCACAGGGGGAAATCTAGAGAATTCCAGATCCACGCAAAAAAACTGGTGCTGCTGCACGGCCCAGGTCCCGGCTGAGGGTGTCTGATGCCCAGCTCTCCTGTGGGGGGCTCTGCTGGATCCAGGGCCACCCCTGGCCTGAGCAGGTCCCTTGGCAACAGCTGTGTGCTCAACCCTGTGCTCCAGTGGGGCATAGTGGGGGGTTGCACGGCTCTGGTGCTCTGTAAGGGAGTAGTTTTTAATCTACACTTCCCAGAGGATCACATCCTGCAGAACAGAGTGTGTTTCTGTTAGCTGGGGGAATCTCCTCTCCTCTGTCAGGCCCTGGAAGAAGCTGTCTCTTCTTAACAGCAGCTTCCAACACCTCTTCTTTTGTTCTCCTTTACTGCTGGGGAATTTCCATTGCTTCGGCGTCCCTCCCCTCAGACAACCTGGGAGAAGTGAGTTTCCTTCAGCAGGGCCAAGCCCTGCAGCAGCTGCATTGTTCTGCCCGGGCCCCTGCTGGCCAGTGTCAGCCGCTCGCCCCATTGTCCGCTGGTGGCTTCCAGCCGCCCTGTGGGATACGTGACATGGTCCCTGTCAGCCAAGGGCCGAGCCAATATGAGCTGATGGTTTGAGTTACATCTGAGGTCATAAAATAGACCTCAGCTGATGAGTATATCCTCAGTAGATTCCCCAGCTGCAACATAACATTTCGAGTTAATGGCATGTCTCTTAATAATTTTGAATTTATTTATAGTGGATAAGAAATGAGCCTTCTACACCAGGTGTACTGTAGAGCAATTGACTCCAAGCTTCTCAGATTCTCGCACCCCACAAAACTGACCTTTTGGCCAAGTCCAGCTTCTGATGGGTCAGAGGACAAATAAGGAAACCCTGAAAACTAATGTCGGCATTGTCCTTCAAAAGACCATGCCTCAGACTGTGGCAAAATGTCTCAGCTGAGGATGTTGAGAAACATTTTTTCTCTCTAAGACTTCAAATCATAGGAAGTTTTGTAAACTTTTCGACTCCTGTTTTAAAGAATTTCTTTTGGAGGGGTGTTTCTCTTAGCCATGACTTATTTTGCTTCTGCCAGTGAGCATCTTTTGTTACAGTTCCTTCAGCAGCAGAACTGACTTCAGAAGTTTCTGTCTGCTCTTTCCTACACCATGCTACAGTTCACAACCCGCTCAGTCCTGAAAAAAATATCAAGTATGGAGGCTGTGTGGATGACTGAAATAAACCATGTTAAAAAACAAGGTTGTGTTGCCTTTCTTTCTTAACAATTCAACTCAGTAGTCATAGGGGTCAGCTTAGCCACAGAGCAGGACATAAGCCAGATGTGCTAGCTGAGAATCTATGGGATTAGGTGGAGACTTGAGAGAGAGCAGAAAATTTTCTGAGTCAGTAGTGCACAGGCAGGTAACTCATTGTTTTATAAGGAGCCAGAGTGGATAAATAGGCACAGGTAGTGTCTCAAGACAGATGGCATTAAAACAACTGGAATGTGCAAAAGTAAAAGCCAGTCCTGTTCTTTCTGATAGTTATGTATGTATTGTGTAGTAATGATAATCCTAATGTGTTACTGGATCCTAGTGCAATACAGTGTTTGTTGTTGCTTGAGGAGAAGAGTTTAGCCTTGTTAGAGGAAAATGCAGCTCAGAGGCTCAAAGTCTCTTCACCATCTATATTTACTGATAATTTTTCAAGGGTGTATTGAAATCATATGACTGTACTGTCTGTATTTATCTGATCCATTCCTGCCTTTGAAGTGCCTCTTTCATCTGCATTTTGTCATTTACTTGTCTGAACTTAGTATATTAGCATGGACTTGTTATGTAGATGTTATATTAGCAATTGATACTACATTGAAGTAATTTTTTATTTATAGGGTTTTGGATTTATGGGAATTTCATTATAATAACATGATGTCTGACTTTTCTTACAAGGTTTGCTTTTCAGGAAAATCTGTATTCCTCTAGAAATACAGAAAATTGCGATGCTCTTTTAGCTTTTACATGCCAAGGAGGGGAGAAGGTAGGGTTGGTGGTGGTATTTTTAGGCTTACTTCTGCATGTGGTAAAATATTGTTGTTTACCTAACTAGAAATTCAGTACCATATTGATTATCCAAAATGAAACAAATTTAATTTTACCCTAGTGAAAGATAGAAAACGTTGGGAACTGTTAAGTGACTGGAGGAGGCTCTGCTCTTTTTCTTGTCACAGCTTGTGTTGATTGCAAAGGGAATTG